AAGCTCAGCTTAGCGGGGACTCTGTCCTTGTGATTCCTTTCATTCAAAAGGTTCGGGCCAAATTTATATTAAAAAAGGGGGAGCCAAACCAGGTTGGGCCGGGTTGAACCCGATTGGACCGGTGTCTTACACGCAATCATGGTCAGACAAAACAGATGCTAATATCGGGTCAAATATTTTTGTTAACTGATATTATTGTTTTTTAGCTTACACGTATAATAATTTTTAGCTTTTTAACTCGAGATTTCATGCACAAAAATGTGGCATTCGTCCACTTTTCCTCGTCTGCTCTTAGCGACTTGATTTGACCTTAAAGGCCAATCTTACCAGCAAAAAAAAAATCACCTGCATGATAATTATTTGCCCAAGGGCAAGAAACGCCAGAAACGCCAGCCGGTCAAAAAACTGGCAAAAGATATGATCGTGCTTGAATTACATTCAATGAAAATTTCAGGAGACATAAATAATCTCTTATAGCTACTGGGCGCTCGGAGCATTCGCTAGCATTCCATTGCCAGCTGCCTTACCAACATCACATTTGCATTACTTTGGGTTCATCGTAGTTGACAGTAGATGAAGCGGCCACAGCAAACCCATGCCTCATTATCCTTTCCTTCCAAGCAGCCAAGCTAACCGGCCGCCCGGCCCACCACCGCGATATGGAACAACGCTGGAGTGCGCCATTTGCCTGCGGCAGTGCCCCACCGCGCCGGGGCTGTTTGACAGGTCACCCGCACCGTGACCTCGCCACCCGCCCCGCCCCCCCCCCCCCGCCCACTTCCTCATCGGGCCCAGCTCGGTAGTGACCTCTCCTTGAATTTCACATGGACTCGACTGAGGCTCAACGCCATCTAGTTTCGTCTGGAGATCCTTACTAGATCCACTGTACCCTTCATGGATTTTGAATTGTGTCGCCTCGCTTTCGGACACAGATTTCGGCCCGCTGACGCAAATGGCGCACCACGCGCTTCACATTCTCAGCGCATCCTCCTTGCAGCAAACCTCTCCACTGTGACCTGTAGCTCTATGAGGGTCACTGGAAGGGCCTCTGCTTGGGGCCTCCAAGACGACTGCCCAAAATCAGAAGTCCATCGGCGAGAGATCAGGGCTCCAAGCTGGCCATGGCCGCTCAGTGAGACGGCTGATCACTCGTCTGTCAAAGTTGCCATCCAACCGCTGGCGCCCAGCCGCCGTTGTGTCACTTCAGCGCCGTCCTGCTGAAACCAGCGGCCTTGTCTTTAAACCCCCGCCAGGCACATGAGGCCAGAATTCTTTCTTGAGCACTGAGCAGCCTCAGATAAGCTGGCCCAGTCACTGATAAGCAGGAAGCGAACCAGTGGACGAAGACACGCCCGTCGACCACGGCAGCCCAAAACATGACCTTTCGTGCGTTTTGTTCCTTGCAGTCAACCGTGACATTCTGGAATCTGTTCAAAAGCCTATGATCATTTTAGAGCGGACATTCTGCTTCTTTTAAAAGTGTCCCCAAATCTTACGGTGGACAGCCGTGCGCTTCAGTGAGCCGTTTCCCACGACCACCCAAAACGCCTACGTGAAAAAAGAGCTGACCCGTGTTGTAGGGGGAGGCATTTCATGTCCGTACAAAAGGGAAGTTTGGTGAAGTGTGACAGTTTTAATTACATCAACAGAAATTCCAAGAAATTTGCAATAAGGTAAATACAAAATGTATGCTTTTATTATTTACGAACACCTTCAACTTCGCGTTTTAAAAATCACATTCATTATGAAAGACCCTGTAGATCAAGTGACTCATAAGGAGCGAAAAAGCGACAAAAAGCATGAATTTCCCTATGGCGGCGGGCTACCGGGTTGCCAGACGGCGCACCGGCTATTTCCACTTTTGACACTCCATGGATACCTTGTCCCTTGGCGACATAGCTGAGAGGTCTTAGCTTTGATGTAACGCCCGATATGACCCTACGGCGACCATGCTAAACACGGTAGGGGAGGTTGGGGTAATTTGGCCGCTTTTTTTAGAAAACGATATAACTTAAAATTGACGACACATTTCTGCATTTTCTCAACGCTGGCAGGTGTCGCATTTATTTTACTTTAATGGACAGTGAACTTGAAATGATAAGAGTAATTACTTATATTGAAATTGTGAGGTATTACAAAGGTCTGCAAGGCGGCCAAATTGCCCCACTAGCAGGATTATTTGGCCGGGGGTGTGGGGCAATTTGGCCGGTGTTAGTTGGCGGTCGGGATTTTCTGTTATATTGCGATTCAGCTTCAGATTCACAATGACGTGTGTCCTATGACGCATTTGCCGCATTTTGGAGGCTGACTCAGGGGTCACAGGGGTCAAAATAGCCAAATTAGCGGCTCTAGATCGTAATTCTCTCGTCAGTCCGCATCGAAAGATATATGTGTTGACCTTGAGAAGTCAAGGTCAAAGGTTGACCTAAGGTCACGTTACATCAGGTCGCTTGACCTCAAGGTCACGTGATTGCAAGGTCATCATGCATATTATTCGATGCGCCTTGGCGAGCTGAACAGAATGAGACCATTTGTGCGGCTGTACCATTTTTATGTAAGGATTTATTAGCAAAAAACGTTTGGTAACCTTTGATGACGTCACATGCTCTTACAGTTGACCAATCGGAAGTAAGGCATCAAAGTAGTCAAAGTTGGCCATGAATCATGTCATTTATGGTACAATTGACCATGAAAACTCGGCCGTCCCAGCATAGTGGCCATGAGCGCACCGGCCAAGTTGCCCCGCTAGTCCCGGCCAAATTACCCCCATATTGCCATTCTGAAAATTGTTGTCTATAAAGTCATCACGGCTTTACGGAATTAGATGAAATTGCTCTTGGAACCGCTGAACACCCCCAAGAATGGGGCTATAACGTCTGAATTCGTTTTTAGCCCAAATACTACATGTTATACAACTTTGTAAACAGAAGTAAAAGTTACCATTTTCTAATGAAATTGACGTTTTATTAATTTTGAATAAAACTACGAGGGGCAAAGTTTTGACATTTGTCCTCCAGTTATTTTTACCCATGACAAATGAATAGAGACTAGAGTTATTTCACTCACTTTTATTAGACATCGTACAGGTGGGGGCGGCCAATTTACACCACCGGCCAAATTACCCCACTCTCCCCTAATCGAAAGGAACGTCGTAGAACGTACTGGAGAAAATGTACCCAAGGCCGTATATAGGCATGTACCTACTGATTATGTGTAAGGAATGCAGAACCGGTCATCGACAATGTATATGGCCTTGTCATCCATTAAGTGTGAGAAACAGTCTGTGTTTCTATGGCCTTGCTACTGCCTGCATGTGCGAGGACGTATGTGTATGTGATAAGGGTGCCCAAATTGTTGGAAAAAGGAAAAAACAAAAGCCTAAGAAAAAAAGAGAAGGAAAAAGAGAAAAAAATGGACAAAAGAAAATAAAAAAATATAAAAGGAAAAAAATGGTGAAATGAAAAGAAAAGAATAAAGAAAAAGAAAAGAAAAGAGGAAAAAAGAGAAAAAAAGGAATCCGCACCGTTTTATTTCGTGTTGCTGTTTATTCGTTGACTGTATGTTTCATTGTATTTCTACGGCGTTCCTGTTGTTCCTGTATCCTACCACTGCCACACCTTTCCTTCATCCTACCTCGCTTAGTCTGGCTTAGTCTCCATATCCTGCTAACGAAAGTGACGCACCAAAGATGAAGAACCGGATGAACGACATACCTCTTGGACCTACCTTCCTCATCCTTGGAGGGCAATCAACGGACGCCTGAGCCCGACGAGGCTGTGCGCCCTAATCCAAGACCAAGACCAAGACCTAGAGAAGAACTTATCAGTATCGTTAAAAATATGAAGAATGTAGGATCTGGTTTCGATGGCATAAATGCTAAAATATTAAAATTAACATACTCAGCAATACTAGATAATCTTGTTCACTTCTATAACTTATGTCTCAGTACAGGTACATTTCCAACATTGCTAAAGATTGCAGTAATTAATCCAATATATAAATCAGGAAATAGGACACAGATGAATAACTACCGCCCCATTAGTATTCTTCCCTACATGTCTAAAATACTTGAAAAAATAATTTATACAAGGGTCGTAACACATCTAGAAAACAACAATATTCTTAGTCAAAATCAGTTTGGCTGCAGAACGGGACACTCAACTTACATGCCCATTCTTCTATTACAAAATATGGTGCTTGAGGGCTTTGAACAGAACTTGATTTCCTGTGGTGTGTTTATTGATTTAAAAAAGGTTTTTAATACAGTAGATCATGCAATTTTATGCAAAAAAATTAAAGCATATGGCATCACTGACAAACTCTTCTCAATTATTAGCTCTTTCCTATCAAATAGATATCAAAGTGTCAAATTCAACAATGTCATGTCTGGCTTGCAAAGAATAACAGTGGGTGTGCCCCAAGGCTCTATCTTCGGCCCACTCCTTTTCATTCTTTTTATAAATGATTTCCCTAACATTTCTACCAAATTCAAACCTTTACTGTATGCAGACGAGCTCCGGCGAAAAGTTTCGAAAATAACCCATTTTTCCAGCAGCGGATCGAAGATGTGCTGTATGTACTGTGTATGCTTGCATGCATGTTTTCGCCAGGGATGTGTGTGTGTAGGTGGGTGTGTGTGTGTGTGGATGTGGGGGGGGGGGTGTCCGTCCGTCCGTCCGTCCGTCCGTCTGTAGCTGGTGCGGGACCGGTTGTTCGCCGGCGGCGGCTGCCACCGCGGACCTATTTCGGCTGGGGCTTTCACTATTGCAGGCGACGAGGTCACATGCGACGCCTTGAGAGTCCGAGAGGTGAAACCTGGCGCCGCGCCGGTGTGACGGCGTGCTCGGCCGAGCGCGACTGCCGTGCCTGGGTCGGCGGCACGGCGCAGCAGCTCCAGGCTGACGGCAACGAGAGCCGCACGGAGCTGCACAGAACAGTGCAGTGGCAGACTGGGCCGGCTCCCACCAGGACACTCTTCAGGCCAACGGAAAGAGCTGCCGTCATTTTGGGTGATTTGTATTGGGGCTGACATAATCGCATCACATTCACTGGTCGAGTTCCGTCGCAATAGCTGCAGGCTGTCATCAGCACTGGCCAACAGCATTATACGGAGCCCGTGGTCAACAGCTGTCCAGGGGCCGTATTCACGTCGATCATTTTCGTAAGAATTTTCTTACGTTTGACCTATTTCTTAAGTAAATTTTCTTATTCACGTGAACTCCGTCGATAAAAACTTATGAAGTGTCGTCTACTTACGAAAGAAAATCGACTTACAAAGTCGACGTGAATATGGCCCCATATCCGCTGTCGTGCTGCTGATCACAGGGCTATAGGCTTAACTTTGCTGAAGTCATAATGATAAACTTAACGACACTCATTTGGACATAACGTGGACATTTGGCATTTTACTGTGGCGGCAAAAACAAGTATGCATTGTTCTATCTAGCCTTAATCCATGATCCGAGTTTACCCGCACCCTGCTAGGGGGAGGGTTGAACACCTTATGCGGTTTTTCGCGATATCTAAATAATGGCGACGCGGGGCGCCACCGTTTTCGGTTCATCTTTTCAAACATCTTTTCTGCATATTGTGTTAACATTTCAGACCAAGGTCACTCAAGGTTAGGTCACCAGGTCACGTCAGGTAACCTCACTTCATAAAAAGTTTCAATGCCTGCCATAGCTATACCGAGTGACCGATCACTTTGAAACTTTCAGCGGTTCATGAGAGCAACAGTATGTGCATACAGCCCTCAGCACACTGCGTGGTAGGCATTTTTTTTCGACAGACCGAGAATAACTCGAATACTATGCCATCGGTCAATCGGAAACCGTAACAGCAAGACGCATGATACTCCACCCCTTAGATTGGGCTTATTATGGTATACATTCTCAATCCAGTTTGGCAACAACACACAACAGTTTATATTTACCCCCAAAACAAACTTTTGTATTTTGTTGCCACACTTGGCGTATACTTTGTTCAGTGATCGACCCAATCGAAGGAGTGGAGCATGGCGCATATAAGTGCAATGAGCTCCGACCATTTGATAACATAGCCTTCGAGTTATTATCGGTTTTGTCGAAAAAAAAAGAATACCTACCACACAGTGTGCTGAGGGCTGTACAAAATTTTGTCTCGGAATTCTGATATTGGTGACCAAAGGCCAGGTCAATTTTGCGACCTCCCCATTACCTATAAGTCAATGGGAGAAAATTGACATGCCACGGGCCATGATCACATCAACGCTAAAATATATTTTGGCATTGATTTGATAATGGCCCGTGGCCGAAAAGTCATCTAAAACAAAAAAATACATGAATGAAAAGCATAATTTTGTACGGAGGTCATTCAAAAACGACTAAACGATTTAAATGCCTTACATTCAGCAAGCACTAGACTAAACGAATTAAGAATTGACAGGCGACTCTTTTGGACGGACGTCATTCTTACACTTTCAGAAATCGAGTTTCAAGTAAGTATGGCACACTGTAAGTACAGGATGAAATGGCACTCGTGACCCCTCGTTATGTTTCTGAGGTCATCTTGCGTCACGAAAAGTAGGTATCTCAAACAGTTTTTCGCTAGTAAATTTTGATATGGGCACGCTACAGCGATGAACACGCCTTAGATGTGATTGGCTTGACGGTACGGATCGACTGATATGGAACATGAGTCATGACCTTCTTCCTTCAGGTCATGACCTTGACCGGAGGTCAAATTTTTAAATTGACCTTTCAAGGTCAAGGTGACGAAAGGAACACGATGCTGCTAAAAGTAAGCTTGTGCAGGGTTTGAGTCAAAAGTTGTTGCAGAAAATATGTTTACGCAATCTGTTTCCGCGATTCCCCAGGCTATATACCTGAGGGAATTGATCAGAAATATGGTGGTCAAAAGAGCTATCGGATGCGTTTTCTGCGGTGCTGCAGCTCTATCCGTTCCTCAGTTTTGTGCCGGATTGGCGAAAATTATCGGTTTGGCCTAGGAAGTGGCGAAATATTACCTTTGGGTGACCTCTGGTGACCTGACCTTTGACCTAAGAATTGACAAAATTATTTCTTCATTTTTTACGCCTTTCCGAACGCCGCCTACGGCATGTCGCTACGTGTCCCAGGAGCCGAGTTAGAAAGGGGTGTTCACCCCCCCCCCTCCCCCAGCGGGGCGTGGAAATCCAGTACCCCCAGAGGGATGCGAGTTAATGACGCCCTGGTCTGAGTTTCCTACATTTTGTTCTACGCTTTTCCGGGCTCGTCACGAGGCATCCAGGGACCGTTCATAGAAGGTACGACCCCCAACGAGAAATAGGTGACTGCTCCTGGCACGCTGCCGGATGCACTATGCGGCTGGCTAATAAATAACTGCATAGGGCGTGCAATAAATAAAAGAAAAACAACTGGCAACACGGTCAGTGGTGCGTCGCATAATCGACGTTGCACAAATTCACAACAATCGGCCGACGCGGCAGTGCCCTCATTAAAGCGACTGGTCTCTCTCGGGCCCGGACAGTCAAGCGTAATAAGGTTGGTCCCGGCCCCGACCGAGAAAGACGCCGAGTAATCCCCGTGATTTGGGAGCGCATCCGCCCCTGCAGCGCCCCGGTTAGCCTCCCACTCAGTTTGGACACTTGACGAATTCGGGGTTATCGACGCCCGAGGCGAACAACGACGCCTTGCCGCTGAAGGCGCGCAACCGAGAAAATAGGAAGACTGAGACGATGATGGCGATCACGAGTACCAGCAGAAGCATGATCAGACCGGCCACGAAGCCGGGTACCGACATGCAGATGTTGTTCCTCTTGTGCACGGCGTCCGGCGACTCTAACACCACCAGCGAGTCCTGGTTGGAAGAGCTCAGGCTAAATGCCACGTCGCCAGGCGCCACCACCTGAATGGTACGCTCTGTCTCCACGTCCGTCATCTCCTGGGTGTCGCGCCGTCGCCGCCGCAACGCGCCGTCCGCCGCCGCCTCGGCTGCCAGCTCATCCAGCTGCTTGTCGTCGAGCGCGCGTGGCTGACCGGAGATGGCGTACTTGGCGCTGTCGTCGTCAGAGGCCACGCCCTGCCGGTTCACGAACGGGTAGGGCGATGGTGGCCTCGGCAGCGTCACTGAGCCCGGTTTCAGGCCGATGTTGACAGGCTGCGGGATCGGCCGATCGGCGTGCTGTTGCCGCTGCTGCTGCGCGCGCCGCCGCCCACCGTTCGCAGGCGGCGGGCCCTGTCGGTTTAAGGCGGCGTCGATGCGGTTCTCGCTGTCGTTGGCCTGCTCGCCGTCGACTATGACCGGCTGCTGCTCGCTGCCGGCGCCCTGATATTCGCCGGCCGGAATGCGCGGGCTGGTGTCGTAGTCCCGCTGGCCGCCGCACGCCGCCTCCGGACACTGGTAGCGGCACACCTGGATGACGCACTGGAAGTGGACGTTCATCGAGTCGGGGAACTTGAACGCCTGGAAGTAGGCGTATGATACCACAGATGCCGACGAGCCAAAGTTCTTGATCTTCTGGAACTTGGACATGACCTTGGGTCGGGTGACGCAGCCATTGCCGTCCACCAGCTGGAGCGGTGCACGGCGACCGTCGTGGGCGACGCAGTTGCGGACGAGCATGTCGAACTTGTTTTCGTCGTCCTTGATTGCCAGCACCATGGTCATGGTCTGTCCGATCTTGACGATGCCGGACACCTCAGAGGCCCACGGGCCCTTACCGACCTGGATCTGCATCCAGCACTGCAGGTTGTCCCCGAGGAAGTTAGCCGTCACCGCGTTCAGCATGTCCACCTGGAACGGCTTGAACGTTACTTTCTTCTCGTAATAGTCGTACCAGGTGCAGCGCAGCTTGCGCGCCTGGTCCCAGACCTCCTGCACCAGCGAGTCGTACTGGATGATGATGGTGTTCTCTACGAAGCTGCCAGCAGGGTTGGGCTGGCCGTAGCTGCCGCTCTCCGAGGCGGCCATGCCACACGAGTTCAGGTAGATCTCGAACTGGGCGTTGAGCGCACCCGAGCCGGGCTGCATGTGCACGCAGTTGCCGTCCGAGTAGTGGCCCTTGCTAAAGATCATGCCGTAGAACGGACGGTCAAAGTCGACGTTGACACGCATGCTCGCCTTTTCACACTGGACCTCGATGTTTTTAATTTTCGGCATGTCGGGTGCGGGTAGCAGCCACGGGTCGGCGTCGCCGGTGGCCGGACCGCTGTAGCCCTGCTGTGGCGGCGGCGGCGGTCCATAGTTGGGGCCGAGCTGGCGGCCGCCGTCCAGCAGCGGGCCGCCTCCACCCCTGTGCTCCGCCGGCAGGTGCGCAGAGCTGAACTCGTCACACCACACCAACTGCAACACACAGAACGAGCCGGCTGTCAGCTGCCGTCACACAGGAGGGGAGCGCGGACAAGACAGATACAGCAGACGACGGGCCGAGAGGGCGGACAGATACAGCAGACGACGGGCCGAGAGGGTGGACAGATACAGCAGACGACGGGCCGAGAGGGTGGACAGATATAGCAGACGACGGGCCGAGAGGGCGGACAGATACAGCAGACGACGGGCCGAGAGGGCGGACAGATACAGCAGACGACGGGCCGAGAGGGCGGACAGATACAGCAGACGACGGGCCGAGAGGGCGGACAGATACAGCAGACGACGGGCCGAGAGGGCGGGTCCTTGCGACGTCAAGGAAGGCTTTGGAGCACAAATTAAAACTAGAAGCTGAATCAATATGTATGGAAAATCCATCCTCAAAAGTCTAAATTCATGGTAGTTAGCTCGAATGATATCCACCCGTTCTGTCTTCATCATATCATCATTGAGCATACCGATGAATACATTTATCTCGGTACGCCTGTTATGAACGCCTCTCTTCAGAAACAAGTTAAAGCGCATATCGATTTCAAACGGAGCCATCTGATAAAGTTCAGTTCTTTCCTTAACCCTAGAACGCCTAGGGGGGGGGGTTGTATCAACCCCCCCCCCCCCCTGAGGTTTTTTCGAAGTGCACGCTAAACGGCTTATCGTAGCGGGCTGAAATTTTCAATACCCTCTGGGGCAACCTTTGCGCATCTTTTGCCGAAAAAAAAATTGATCGGGTCATGTCAGGTCACGGAGTTATGACGTCATAAGAGGTACAGCCTCCGGCCGACAGTTACCAAACGTGTGCGCCGAATCCCTAGGTTTTCTGCCGGTGATACCCACATTGTTTGATGGATCATGATGAAACTTCCCATGCATGTTGGGGCAAGCATTGGCTATCGTGTGGTGCAAGAAAATTGACCGGGTCAGGTCAGGTCACGGAGCTATGACGTCACAAGAGGAACAGCGTCCGGTACTATTTTTGAAAAGCACCCGAACCACTATTTTGCTAATTCTTGTCACCTCAATGGGAATATGCAGCAATATTAGCTTCTATAGGGAGCAAATGGACCTCCCAAATCCAAAAATACAATCAGATTTCAAAAATTTAAATTTTGATTTTTCGAATTTCTGCCGCCGACTGTGACCTTGCCGACTTCTGGCGCTCCCAACGCGCCATTTTTAGAGCTAGGGAAACGAAATACATACCAAACGATAGAGAATTGATCAAGGAACACGATAGTGAAGGTTTCAAGTCGATATCTCCCACCGTTTTGCCGCAATCGCCGCGGAAAGTTGAAAAAGTTTGATTTTTTCGGAAAATTTGACCTTTGACCGGTCATAAGTAGGTCAAATGTTGACCTAGGACCAAAAAATATACCACCAATCGCGAGATCTCGTTGAGAGCAATCCGTTGGTTTTTTCCGCTAAGCTCTACGACCTTCCGTTTCGAAACGCCAGGGGGGGGGTCGTAACAACCCCCCCCCCCCCTGGTCGTTCGTGTTATGAGAAATGGCCTGGTCGTGCGAGGGTTAAGAAAAACGCAGAGACTCCCTTTTCGGTTAAAGAGCTAGTTTTCTAAAGTGCCCTCAGCAGTTCAGTGTTTTACGGCTGCGAAAGCTGGCTGTGCAACGACATAAAATCAGTTATTTCACCGATATTGTCAGCGCTAAAGCAGTTATTGTCGGTTCGCAACCAGACATGTATGGACTTAGTTCTGGCGGAACTAGAATATCCAGACACTACCGCCATTGTCAAGGAATTCCAAAGGAAATTCATCCATAAGTTGACCTCCCGTGAAAACTTTAATACCACCTCAGCGTTCTTTGCACTAAATTTAGCGAGACAAGCAGGCGCAGGGGCTGGGAAGTATATTGATGCTGTAATGCAATATGAATCTGGGTCTTCTCGAGCCGCCAGTCTGGCGAGTACTCAGACCAGGATTTGTGAATCGGCATCTTCGAGAAGAGCCACATACTGTCAGCTTAATCCCCACCTCAAGAGACACCCAATGTATGATAAAAATGTTCCCGAGTATGTGCGTACCGTATTTACTCGAATTCGCTTAGGCTCCCATAGGCTTAAAATTGAAACGGGAAGGTGGGCACGCTTGCCCGCAGATGAGAGGCTTTGTATGTGTGGCGCGATTCAGACAGAGTGGCATGTGTTGTTGTTTAGTCCAGAAACAGAGCCTTTTTGGGACAGTTTCCCCAACCTGAATTTTAGGGATTTAGAAGCGCTAATGGAGGGAAACGTTTTAGATTTAGCAAGGTTTTGTCACATGGTTTTAAATCGGTTCGAGTGTTTTGATCGATGACGTTTTGTTTAATGTGTTATGTTCTAAGCAACCTTTTAGTACATATAGAAGTATATGACATGTGTTTTGGTGGACACGCCTGTCATCTGAGTTTTATCCATATTCATTGTATGTATAATGTTTTTATCAAGTGTCAATAAACTAACCAACTAACTAACTTTAGTACAATATTGATTTCAAGCTTAATAATCACTGTCGTCCTCTGGCTCATAAACAAAAGTGAAAAGTAATTATACTCTGTTCCGTTTCAAGCTCGCAGCCGAAGTGCTCTGCTGAAAGCAATGCGTGATTTCTGTATATACAGCTCTTACATTTTAAGACGCAAATTCTTGAGCGGAGGAGCGATCTGTCGAAGAAACTCAGACTGCAAGCTTGATATGGAACAGACTATAGTAAAAGAGTCAGATTTCGGGGCTCAGTAACGCTTTAAAAGGAGTCATGGGACCTCCATGTGGAAGATATCTTTTTAATTTTATTTTGATCGTCGAAATACGGTAGACACCGTTGCAGTTCTGGCTATATATCTTGGTAGCTAGACCAATGATCGGCACGGGACCAGCATCCACGTATCGATAATTGAACGAGCTATCAAATAACATCGATTTATGCCGCGAAGGCACCGGCGAATGTTTGAGGAATCACGCGATTTGGAGATAATTGGCGCAACTACATATTGTTTTCGATGGAAGGGGGTCAGAGAGTTTTAAAGCGGGCCCCCACGTCACACCAATTAAAAAAATATTTCAATATTCCGTTCGCTTCTTGTCAGTAAGCAAAGGAGCACTGCAAGCATGTTAGCTTTGACTTTTGACCTTTTGAATTGGCCCGAACTCAATTTTTTAGGTTGAGATTTATTTTGTTGAGACTTTCGTTTAGTCATTAACTTTTTCAGTACATGATTCATTTACGGAGAACGGCAGATGAAAGGAAAACGCCTCCCCATGGTTTTTTGGATTGTATTTTCCTTAGCTCGGCTTGCCTAGTCCGTACAAAAACTGTACGACGTACGTGGCTTAAAAATATGCACATATAATGCTTAATAGGTCCGTTTCATGTATTTTCGTTGTAGTTAAACATCTGCATGGGTGTATCAAAGTTTACAAACACGCAGCCTCGCATACACTTACGTAAGTATCTACAACACATGTTCGAGAAAAGCAATATTCCACAAGCCACCGGATGGTTCAATGAACTCGTACGGGCGCTCCCTGCCGCGACTTAAGTTGCTACTTGCTCGTCGGTCTTCTCCCTTCACACTAGAGATGTCAATTGGATACCGACTTTTTGGTATACCAATACCAAACCGATACCAACTTGGTATTTGGTATTTCAATCCTAATATGTTTGGTATTTTGTTGGTATCATGAACCCCCACTAATGCATAAGAGGCTAAGAAATTGGTAAAAAGTTCGTATTTCCCTCATGTTCCCAAGTTGGTTTGGTTTCGGTATTTCTCTACGGGTTTGGTTGGTATTTGGTTTGGTATCGGTATTCCGATTTTCCGTAACTGACCATCACTACTTCACACTGCGCACAGTTGGTTATTTGAACAGATAGCTTCGATAGCTGACAAAATACCAATCGTTGTCGATGGCTGCCTAAGTGCCTATCAGGTGTCTTAGAAGGTAACGGCAGCCGAGTGGATAGCACCGCTGTAAAGAAGGTATAAGTACATAACTCCGCCGGCTAACCGGCACAGCCATAGGAGACCCAGAAGTTATTTTATATGTTTGTTAGGGGATATGCTTCCCAATAACGTGCTTCATCTTTGCTTCTCCGAAAATTTATCGGATTTTGATGTGTTATAGTTATGCCTATTCGCGCAGTTTAAATCAAACTTCTTCTTGTAAGGGTTGTTGGGCTTCCTTTCAATGCGAGAAAAAATGCATAATTTCGTACATTTGGGGCACTATGGGAGCTCAAAATGTGCCTCTTGAGCTGCAAGCTGGCACGGCTGTGAGCGATTTTGCTTTTGGTTGCATCTCCGTGTACTGCACCCACAAAATATTCAGCATCGTATGAATTAGTACTCACAAGACCAATTTGCTCTTTCTCAGCTCAGGTTCAGGTCCAAGCTAGTAGGTTGATGTTGGACTTGCATTTATTCTATGCTGACATCGGAAATGGTTCGGTTACTGGGTCTCCCTTTATTCTAATCAGTTGATGTCCTCTTGTCCGTGTGTCTTGTTCTTTTTCAATTAAATTGTCTCTCCTCAAATGAAAATCTTCACCTTCCCAGTGACTATTTTGAGTGTCTCGAGCAAAGCTCCACTTCACATTTGCTTACCAGAAATGATATTGACCCTTGGCTTGACCTCATTCCGTTTGCCAGGATGGAGACCCAACTTTTCCAGCGATTTAGCATAAGGTTTTAGCGAAAGTAAATGTTTTTAACGAGAAAAATTAAGTGTGTTATCTGTTAATAAAAGGCTCACGTGGAAAACTCAGGATATGCATCAATATGTATATCAAATGAAATTAAAGCCAAAAAGAAAACTCACAAGCTGTTTTACTTTGGTTTTACTGCACGGTAGAGCAAAGTGAAAATTGACAGCACGAAAGCAACATTCATTCGAAATTTCTTCTATGGCACCTACTTTTATGAAACACAGCCTATGATTTTTTTACTTGTCACCAGCAAAACTGCGCATTATAGTTCTTTAGTTTT